TTGGGTCGACGCAAATTGATTATWTTGTTCGGCGCGAAGCTGGCTCGACGTATGAACCGGGCCTTAGAACCCTTAAAACTCCCATGGCTCCATCTTTACTGTTGACTGGCGCTTGGATTAACCACTTCAATACCTTTGCACTGTAGAAACACTGCATAAAAATCAAAGATAAAAACTTTAGCGATAAGTCCTTGTTTATACGCAGTTCCCTAATAACCAAGTGCTTGACATCGCAATTATCGTCGCTCCATGTTATCATCCATTTAATTGCTCGCTATTTAGCTTACTATTTGCTTTGAAAGGTCTTGAATTTTTATATAAAACTCTTCAGCTCTCAAAAAACGCAAAGCTTTTACGTGCAGAAGGTATAGACGAAAACAATGCAAAAGCCACGGTATTTCGCCTTAACTTCGACGACTGTTCGGCTATTTTTCGAATCTTCGTTCMCGAAGACTGTACCATCTGCCCGGTGCACACATCGGTCAATCACGTGATCAGTGTACCTTGTCACAGACTAGTTTATAGACCCGCGAGGCGAGGGATCGTGACGTAGCACCACAGGTAACCCGCATTTTGCTAATAGCGTGCGCCGATAACATATACATTTTAAAGGCGTGCGCATTTGTTCATTTATGGTTTAATAACTATTTTTTCAGCCATACTGGCCACATCTGAAAAGAAATTCAGAAATCAAAATAATGGTGTCATTCCCAGAAATTTGATACAGTCAGCGGTTCGATGTAAACACGCRGGCTCATGTATTAGTGAAGCAAGGACACGGGATTTTAACAGCATAAAAGCGGTTTTCTTGCCAAAAATCCACTTATATATCTATGTTTATGCTCTCTGAACTGTAGTTTTTCTTYGTATTTAAAGAGAGACGCCTTTCTTTCATCTGACATATCTTCTTTGTATTGTTTCGATATCCCYGCCAARATCTTTCACACAGGAAACCCAAAATGCTTATTTTGCTAGAAAATGCCTATTTTGCTACATGAAGAGACATGGGAGGTTATTAAGGTATAAACTGAAACAAATGGCGTGCTAGATCATGTAGAAGTACGAAATCTCTTGTTTCTGCTCAAAAAAATCGACTTGGACCTTCGCATTCCACAATCCGAGAGGTCGATCAAAGAATGGCAGATCTTCGAAGGAAAATGGAACCGGTTTAGGTCAAGTGTTTTTATGTTTTTTTGGCACAGAAATGTAGCTTAGTACGTGTTCTAACGAATAAGATTTGTGGGGATGAGAAATCTGGTAGTTAAGACATGTTTATGAGGATCTCAACAACCGGATGTCAAGTGTTTTATGGTGTTTTTACAAGGAAAGTATGGCGGCTGACGGCTATTTTGGTGAGTAGTATTTTCAATTGATTTTGGAACCGGTTTAGGACTTCGAAACGGCTTATTTTATATCGCCATATCAAAGACAATACATCAAACTTCAAAATACGATTTGTGGGAAAATTCGAACGTCAAAAATAACAGAAATATTTGAAGATGAATAAAGTATTACATACATTTCTTTGTATTTTATTGCTCATTAAAATGCCGTGGATTAGCCGACAAGATAATYAATGCGCATGCGTCRCGCCATGTTGTATCGAATTTCTGGGAATGGTGTRTTTAAGGCGATTGAACTTCAGAAAATAGCTTCCTGTGTTTTCTATAGCGAGTACTAGGGGGAGTGGTTACAATAATCGTGACGTAGCATCCGTGAGATGTTTTTTTGGCGCACATCGTTGCTAAAAAAACTTGGTGACATATTTTTTTTTTCTTCTGCTGCAGGTATGCATCTATTGGTAATACGACTGATTTGTAGAAAACTCGTTAATGTAAAACGCATTTTGCTTCTTATATTTGCGTCATGTGGGATTTTCTTTTGGATCAATACTATTCGTCCGGATCCTA